TTCTCTAATTTTAGTTTGCCTCAATCAAATGTTATAAAACTTATTACACAACGCTTATTACCACAAAACACAGATCAAGTTTGAATTTTGGTGGCGTCACTTTAACTCTTATAGAGTTATGCCCCTTTACAAATAGAAAAATTGCTGAATTTTTCGTTTCCATTCTCTAACATTAGTTTGCCTCAACTAAATGTTATGAAACTCACACACAATGCTAATTACCACAAAATACAGATTAAGTTTGAATTTTGGTGGTGCCACTTTTACTATTCGAGTTATGCCCCTTTACAAATGGAAAAATTGCTGAATTTTTCCTTTCTATCTCTTAAGTTTGCCTCAACCAAATGTTATGAAACTTATACACAATACTTATTACCACAATACTCAGATCTAGTACAAATTTGAGTAGTGTCACTTTTACCGTTCTTCAGTTATGTCCCTTTATAACTTTATATGATATGCAAGTGGGGGCATCATCTGTGTCCCATGGACACATTCCCCATTTATTTTCGTCTAAGTTATATTAATAAAGAACAGAGTTCCAATGTCCCCTGCGTTGCACTTAGTAAATATTTCCAAGGGGCATAACTCTTTAAAAAAAGTTGATCGTCCACCATTTTAGAACTTGTCCGAGATATTGCTGATATTAAACTATAGTATAAGTTTTATAAAAATCTGGCAAGAATTGTAGCCGTAAGAGCGCTAACGAGGCCATTTTCCATGAATTTAATATTTCCAAGGGTCAAAACTCTTTAAAAAAAGTCGATCATCCACCATTTTAGAACTTGTCAGAGATATTGCTGATGTCAACCTATAGTATAAGTTTTTTAAAAACCTGGCAAGAATTGTACACGTGAGAGCGCTAACGAGGCCATTTTCCATAGATTTAATATTTCTAAGGGACAGAACTCTTTAAAAAAAAAGAGGATTGTCCACCATTTTATAACTTGTCCGAGATATTGCTAATATTAACCTAAAGTATAAGTTTTATAAATATCTGGCAAGAATTGTACCTGTGAGAGCGCTAACAAGGCCATTTTTCATAGATTTAATATTTCTAAGGGACAGAACTCTTTAAAAAAAGTGGATTGTCCGACATATTGCTAATATTAACCTTAAGTATAAGTTTTATAAATATCTGGCAAGAATTGTACCTGTGAGAGCGCTAACAAAAGGCCATTTTCCATAAATTTAATATTTCCAAGGGACAAAACTCTTTTAAAATAAGTCGATCGTCCACCATTTTAGAACTTGTCAGAGATATTGCTGATGTCAATCTTTAGTTTAAGTTTTTCAAAACCTGGCAAGAATTGTACCTGGAGGCCATTTTCCATAGATTTAATATTTCTAAGGGACAGAACTCTTTAAAAAAAAGTGGATTGTCCACCATTTTATAACTTGTCCAAGATATTGCTAATATTTACCTAAAGTATAAGCTTTATAAATATCTGGCAAGAATTGTACCCGTGAGAGCGCTAACAAGGCCATTTTCCATAAATTTAATATTTCCAAGGGGCATAACTCTTTAAAAAAAAGTTGATTGTCCACCATTTGAGAACTTGTTCAAGATATACGGACTGACACACGGAAAGACGAACGGACAGTTTTTCCATGCATAGGCAAGGGAAAAATTAACTTTATTTACTATATATATAATAAAATATTAATTTTCGCGAACCATTTAGGTCACAGAAATTCCAAAAAATGGCATCAGTAAGGAGAGTTGTACAAATGATGTGAATACACAGAACCCGGATCCAATTTATCTTTTACTAAAAGTATTCATCATTTTCTGTTTTGTATGTACTAACAACATTTCATTTTTCTACAATTTCGATTAAAATATTATAAAACCTGCAGTTCAATAGGTCACATGCCCCAAATAAACATTTCCCGATTGGTCGAACTACTGTGGCCTCGGTGTAAAGCAACGCAAGCCTCGATGTAAAGATCACGCTTCCAAAATTAGAGGTATGTCCCAACTTAACATTCCCCGATTGGTTGAATTGCTGCTCGATGTAAAGCAACGGAAGCCTTGATGCAATGAAGAAAAGGGGTTGACAGGATAAACGTAATCGTTATAAATTTTAACTTCATGGTTCTTATGCAAGCAAATTTAATAAACAATGATTTTATACAGTTGTGTTATTGTTTTCACCTTACATAGGACTTTATTTCTGATCTTATTTCTGTGTACACAATTCTGAATCTACATATTTCACCTATATCAATATTAGGTAATCCGTTTGGACGATTCCATATACTATTACCTTACCTTACCTCTGTATCTTTAACCCCCTTTGTAGAGGAACCATACGCTAGTATGTAGAACTTGTGATCCGCAATTTCTATGTACAGTGATGCCTCCACCAATATGTTGCAGTGCTCTATATTTACAGTGAAATCCTACCCACACACACTTATGTTAAAAATCCTTTGTTTTATAATTAAATGTTTCTGTGCCTATCATACAGTGGTTAAAAGTCAGTCACTATATAATATAAAATTCCTTTCTTTCTTTATATATATATACACGCATGTTACACATTTGTTTTCGGTTCCCCTAACCGTTTTGTGTACGTAGCTAGATATGCTTTAAAAGTATAACTCATTTCTGTAAGATATCAATAACATTATTCCATAAAATCATTTGTTTTCCTATCACGGTAAGATGATAAAAGAATGAGTGCCTCTTCCTCATGATTTAAAAGATATATAGTAAAGTATTGTCTAAAAGTTATATTCGGTTCTTCTAAAAAGTCCTTTATATAATCCATATATTGCTTAAAATTCTGTTGGCTATATATAATTTAAGATAATTTCGATATAAGATCGCACACTTTAGTAAAGTGTCACCACTAGTAGGAATGAAAAAAACCAGAAGAATCCAAATTGAAAAAAAATAATCAGGAAAAGCATGCTGTTATCATGGTTATGTTTAATAGTTTAAGTAAAAACAAAACGAATAGTTTGTTAGCATGAAGGACTTTTGAGGCTCTTCACATTTCATAATTAACTTTAACAATACCAGCTGTTCAATTTAAAGTGTCAATTTTACATGTTTGAGCAATACATATAGCTGGGTAAAGGACTAAAGATATAGTTAATTCGCGGTAATACTACCATATTCTATGGTTATCAATGTAATCTGAGATTGACAAATAAAAATAGTATAATTATGAAATCATTGAAATGAATGCTTAAAATTTAGAATTCCAATGTCTAAAATCAAGACAAATTATAATCAGGACAGGATGAAAAGATGTGAGATTGTCACAGATGCATTAAAACAGATATTTAAAATGTTCAAATGTCACATTGCATAATCATAATAGATTGAAAAAGGCAACATCATTTTCTAGGAATTTAAAATAATTAGATAACAATATTTATCTTTCAGTGACAAAAAAAGTTACAGGATCTGATCAATGTATTTCAATACAAGTCTGTCACAGTACCGAATGTTATGGAACTGAACGATGGGACAGATTCAAAGAACACAAACTAGAGCATGTATATATTGAAGGTGCTTTAGGTGGATCAAAAATGTCAGAAAGATACACGTTGGAAAGAGATAATAATTGTTCAATATTGTCCATTGAAAATGTTACTAAAGAAGACATCTTTGACGCAACTTACCAATTTGTAATAGGAACATCTGACAAGACTAAAATTCAGCTAAAGCATGAACCGAGTAAGTTTAATATAGATCATTTAGATAATATGCAATGATCATTCTTAAAGAGGTGTCACACTGTTATGAAAAACCATACAGTATGAAAAAATCAATATAGTTATAAAGTTAAACCATTACATGTTTCAAATCTAGTTCAAATTTTGCTTCATTCAGATGATTTATTTGCAGAGTTGTGGTCCTTGGACTTAGAAAATACATGCAAGTTATCATTTTTCTGTTTTTTTTGTAGTTTTTTCCAGTACAATTAATTTTTTAAAGCCTTTATAGACGGTCTGAGATTACTTATTAGTTGGTCCAAGATGACTGAGTCCAATTTGTCCTGCATTCAAACTGGGTTGATTTGAATCTGTTAAGTCAAGTCAATTTTATAGTCCCTTCAATTTAGAATTAATGTAAATTGACCCTTACGTTCAAAAGTAAGAAATTCTAAAAATGAAGATCGTATTTTTGTAAGTGATGAAAGCTATATATGTTAACTTACTTGTTTGTATAACAGTTAAAATGACCGGTAATTAGCTCCTTTGTTAATAGTTCAAGTAGAATTTTAAAAACAAATTGACGTTTTATGTGACCCCTAGGGATTTATCAGGGGTCCAAAAGCCAAAAATTGTCCCAAAACTCCCCTTACATCATTTGAGGTAGGATCATGAAAATTATTGTGTAATTTTTTGTACTGAAGGTATCAGAATTGTGATATTTGCCTTGAAGATAGAAGTGTTTGGCAAAAATGTATTGACAGTTATCCAACCAAAAGTGAAATCTTGTGAATTCTCAGCAATGGAGGTTAAAATTTGAATCAGATTTTACAAATAAACATATTAGCCAATTTTTCATGTATGAGCTGCATTGGATAGAAATCGACCTTATGCAAATGAATATCAGTACATCTGTCTCACCTGTAAACCTATTTTCAGTTGAACAAATCTCTATGGAAAGTCTGTAACTGTTTGGAAATTGAGTTGTTATATAAAAAAAAATCTACAAAATAGACCAATATTAATCTTTTATTTTGTATATAAATGTTCCAAAATCCATCGAAGCCTTTAACATTTACATGTATATGTGCACTTGCATAAGGTCGTTTCTATCCGAAGCAGCTCATATAGAATGCATGATGTTTTAAAAGAATTATTCTAGATGGAAGTACACCATCACTATATTATTATCTTATGGTTGTTTATTCATTTTTGTCTGATTTTGGGACTGAAATTTGAGAAAATTTTAACTTAATAATGAGAAACATATTCACAGATATTTAAAGAAAAGTTTTATTTTCAAAACAGGAATAATGTTTTTTTTACAGTTCTATATAAGACCAATGATGGTGATCCAATAAAGTGTAATGGAGATTTTGCCAGGTTGACAATAAATATGACAGTGATGCATATTAGGAAGCATCCTTCCTTCAAATATTATACTGAAGTGAGTAGCAATTCATTTGTGTTCAGTGTTCAATTACATACTCCCCATCCTTTGGAAAAGTATGCTTAAACATTCTATAGAAATTTAAATATTTGAGATGACAAATCTATGTCCAGCCTCAAATCTATGTCCTTTCCGCAAATCTATGTCCTTTTTAATATTGCATCATAGATGTTCCAAATTCATGTCCTTTATTGTCTCAAATCTATGTCTTTTATTGTCTCAAATCTATGTCCTGTATTGTCTCAAATCTATGTCTTTTATTAACTCAAATCTATGGCCATTTTTGTCTCAAATCTATGTCCTTTATCGAAATGTGGTGATGTAAGACATAGCAAGACACAATAAACACAATAAATTATACCCTAAACATATTTATGTGGTACCTATACATTAAAACATTGAACAAAACCTTTGTAAATAGGTGTATGTGTTTATATCTTACGATACAGAATAGGTTTTACATGTTTAATTCATTATTGAAGGCTGTACATTATCTCTATTTGCTTGTATACAGATGTCATTTTGTCTCAGGTTGTTTATTAACTTATATTTCGTATTTGTTATCAAGACGTAATAAGTAAAGTAAAATAGTAAATCATGCAATAATTACACATGCATGTAAAATTTTTAAGCACACATGGAGAACACATCCAAACTTAACATTGAATTATGGCAAATGACTTAATAAAACAAAAATCCTATAAGGCCGTACTTATTAGACGGGCATAAATTTGCGCATGTCGAAACAACCTGGAAAAAGATTTAAGAAAAGGACACAGTTTTGAGGCCGTATCTTTTTTAATGGACATAGATTTGCGAATGACGTCACAATGGTGTACAGATTTTATAAATAGTCGTGTCCATGAACCAATCCCAGCAAAACTTACTAATACCATTGTCTATAGGAGATTTTATTTCTTGTCTGTATCGAGTTTCTATAATGATTTTCCATGTATCGCTGTGTATACTTTATATGCAATTTTATATGCATTTACATGTTTGTCTTCAATTACAGTTTTATTCTGTTATTGTTCTGTTTATGCATGATTTGGTGATTCATATATATAGCATGTTTCGCTTATATATATTTACTTTAATTATATATATTATCTTTAACTGTTAAAACCTGATTTGACCTTTTCTCGGTAGATTGCTCTGTGGTTAATTATAAACTTTTACACATCTATTTATTTGAAAGGATTTTCCCAACGTAAATGATCTGTGGTAATCAACTGGTCGTCTATGAATTTCTTTAATTTGATGATATTACACCTGGTGTTTCGGATATCATTTAGGTCAAGTTCGACCAAGGCCGTTCATCCTCGTCAGGTGCCCTGGCCTAATTTATTTTTATTTACTATAACATTTGATTTTAATTACTTTTTTAATTGTTATCAATATGTTTCTATCGTGTAACGTATCAAATGCAGTTACATTTTGGGGCACTACACCTGGTGAATCTGTAATACACTTATAGTTTAATGTCCATTCTTTATCTAATTACATTATAATTTTGCCGAGGTCAAGTACTCCTTCACATTCTTGTGTTTACGATAAGCAATGATAGGCGGTCTGGGAAATAGATGTTGAGCGGTCTCGTCGTCTTCAATCAAATGCCAGTGTTTTCTTATTCGTCTTCCCAACTGCTTAAATAAAGGATTAAATTTCGTTGCTATGACTAGTGGTGGACTTTTCTGTTTGTTTTTTGTTTTATAACATAATGTGTTTTGCCTACTTTTTCGTAGTGCTTTATTAACTAGTGGATTAATTTCATTTTCCTTGTGTCCCCTGAGTATAAGCTTGTGTTTAAATAGTTTGATCTGTGTGTCGAGGTCATCTTTGTTATTACACGATCAAATGAACCGTGTAACTTCGCCAATTATAAATCCCTTAAATACAGAGGCAGGATGAGCTGATGATTTATCTAAATATTGGAAGTTATCCGTAGGTTTGCGATATAATTTGATATCTAATATTTGTTCCGTTTTAAATCTATCTCCTTTAAATATTGTTACGTCCAAAAATTGTATTTGACTATTAGAAATTTCATATGTGAATTTTAACAATGGATGAATACTATTTGCAATCTGGTAAAATTCAATAAGCACTTGTTCATTTCCTTTGAATAATAAAAAACCGTCATCTCTGTAGATAGATAGAAGAGAAATTTCGGACGATTGTGAGAACCGTTTCAATATTTCAGAAACGATTTCATATATTCTAATATCAGTTAAACTAGGAGACATTGGTGACCCCATCGGTACTCCAACTTTCTGTTTAAAAATCTGCCCGTTGAATTCAAATTCATTGTTTCCAAGGGCAATTTTCAGTAATTCTAACATATCCTTTTTGGGAGGCACAGGGATGTCAAATTTACATTGCATTATTAGCGGCCATGCTCTGTCGATTGCGTTTATAATTTCCGTATGATGTAGATTGGTATACATACTAGAAATGTCAAATGAACTCATTAATATATCAGGAGAGGCTCTTATTTTTTCCAATTTGTTTATAAAAGAAGTTGTATCTTGTGTGTATGTCCAAAATTGGTTGACAACTGGTTTAATAAAATAATCGATATATTGTGCAATTCTTTCTAAGGGGCTATTACATAAAGATACAATGGGTCTTCCTGGAACGTCTATATTCAGTAAACAATTCTTATCAACTTTGATCTTTTCTCTATTATTTTGATTAATTTTATGAAGTTTTGGGAGGAAGTATAGTCTACCCAATCTTTTTTCATCGTCATTTTTTAGGAACTTTAGTGTGACATCATCAATGTAAGAGTTCTTGTGTAAACGAGAAATGATTGTGTTGATACTGTTCACGATCTCCGTTGTGTGAGATTCATTAATTGTTTCATAGTGTATATTGTCATTTAGCTGATTCATTGCCATTTTTATATAGAGGTCTTTGTCAAGAACAACTGTTGATGAATTTTTATCTGCCTTCTTTACTATAGTACGATCATTTTTACGTAAGGATTGCAGTGCCATTCTTTCATTTTTTGATAGGTTGTCCTTAAATGTATTTAATTGAATTTTCTCAAGTTCAATTCTTGTTGAAAATAAGTAGTTTTCAATTGCATTATTTGCCCAGCTTGGTTTATACCCACTTTTTAAAAGAAATGGATGACGATTGTATGTGTTAGACCCGTCATCAAAGTGATATTTACATCTCTTTTTACGGGCTAGTTCGTTGAAGTCATTTATGAGAGTTTTCTTTGCATTTTGAAGTCTTGGACTAGGAATGAATTTAAGTCCTTTCGCTAGAACTAGTATTTCAGCATTACATAGTTTTTCTTTTGTAAAAATTTCAACATATTTTATAGCCTTTTGTACCTTTTCCGCGTTTTTATATTGTCGTCTTCTATGTTGTCTGCATATATTGTATCGTTTTCTTTTTTCTTTATTGTTAGCAATTTTGCGTTTCTTATCCCTAGCTTTGAACCGTCTATTCTTTTTATTAGACATGTGTCTGGAAGTTAGTTTAGTGCGTGTGTTGGTGTATTTCTTTGTTAACTTATAGTTGAATAATTCCAGTGTTCGTATAAATTTTAAAACACCGCCTAATTAGTTTTCCGGCGATACAGACAAGAAATAAAATCTCCTATAGACAATGGTATTAGTAAGTTTTGCTGGGATTGGTTCATGGACACGACTATTTATAAAAAGTCGAAACAACCTGGAAAAAGATTTAAGAAAAGGACACAGTTTTGAGGCCGTATCTTTTTTAATGGACATAGATTTGCGAATGACGTCACAATTGAAAACAAATTTGAAAATAGGACACAGATTTGAGGCCGTATCTTTTTTTAACGGACATAGATTAGCCATTGACGTCACGATGGTGTACAGATTTGAGAAACGGACACAGATTTGAGGCTGTACACAGATCTGAGGTTTACATATATATATCTGAAGATGCTTATTCTGTATATTTAGGTAATGCTAACCTCTTAAGTCCTCTCCCATAAAAGTGACATCTTTCCAAAATGAGTTGTACATTGAAAATTTTAAAAGGATAACTGTTATGATTTAAAAAAAGCATTACACTTATAATAATTGAAGAATATAGTGTTTGATGTTGAGTTTTACTAATTACATGTACATGTTGCCAGTAAAACAGATTTATTAAAGTCGCTCAATTGGGTCTCCTATTTCATCATGGAAAGCGAGATATAGGTTTTGTTTTTCAGGCGAAGGCTGCAACTGTGGATCAACAATTGTAAAGTTTTCTGCTTAAGTTAGTTTGAAAGAAAGTACTTGTGAAAGATCATTGATATTTAATATAAAGTTGTATTACTATTAGTACATTAGTTTGACAACTATTTTGAGGCCCTGCCCCCTATGTCATGGTCCAGTGACATTGAATTAATTAAGCAATATTCCATTTTCTGTTTAAGATAGTTTGATAGGATCTACTTGTGATAGATCAATGATATTTTGCATGAAGTCTCATTACTTTCAGTACATATGCGTATGATGACTATTTTGAGGCCCTGACCGCTAGGTCACAGTCCAGTGATTTACAGTATTTATTTGCTTGTCTTTATATTAATTATCTCTGGTTGGTAAGGAATTGATGGATGATGCAGTTAAGAAGACAAGTAATGCTATCACTATTTATTTATTTCAGAGAGAAGATTTTAACGAAAATCTAACGGTGTCTCAAAGTTCGGAAAAGATGGGTCTATGGTTCGTCACAACTATCTTCTCTGTCATTAATATCAGGAAGAATAATTTCAATGAGACATTTTACCTTGTATACAAAGACACTAAAGATGTTATCATATTTGATGAATCTGTCATCTGTAATGGTAAGTTTTTAAATACATTTTTATACGACCGCAAACAATTTTTTGGGATCGTATAATGGTCATGATGGTATGATGTCGTCGTTGTCCGAAGACACATTGGTTTCCGGACAATAACTTTAGTTTTAGCGAATGGATCTCTATGAAATTTTTTAAGAAGGTTCAATACCACAAAAGGAAGGTTGGGATTGATTTTGGGGATGATGGTTCCTACCGTTTAGGAATTAGGGGCCGAAAGGGGGCCCAAAACAAGCATTTTTCTAGTTGCAGGATAATAACTTGTGTATAAGTATTTCAATTGGTCTCAAATGTACCACAATGTTTAATACCACAAGTAAAAGGTTGGGATTCATTTTAGGGGTTATGGGGCCAACAGTTTAGGAATTAAGGGCAAAAAGGGGCCAAAAACAAGCATTTTTCTAGTTTCCAGACAATAACTTGTGTGTAAGTGTATGGATCTCTCTGACATTGTACCACAAGGTTCCATATAACAAAGGGAAGGCTGGGATTGAGTTTGGGGTTAATTGCCCCAAACATGTAGGAATTAGGGGCCAAAAAAGGGCCAAACACAAGCATTTTTCTAGTTTCCAGACAATAACTTGTGTGTAAGTGTATGGATCTCTCTTAAATTGTACTACAAGGTTCCATACTACAAAGGAAAGGCTGGGATTGAGTTTTGGGGTTATTGGTCCAAGGGGGGATTTCAAAAAGTGGGGGGGGGGGGGGGGATTTTTTTCCCAATTTTTTAAGGGATTCATATTTTTTTTCAAAATTTTTAGAATTTCAAATTTTTGAAAAGTTTCAAGAAGAAATCTTTAATTGCACAGTATTGCGCAATGGATTTATAAGATCTTTGACCACATTTATTTTGTGTCAGAAACCTATATTATGTCAAAAATTTGATCACAATCCAAATTCAGACAGTATCAAGCGTGAATATTGTGTCCAAATTTGCCCCAACTGTTCAGGGTTCAACCTCTGCCTGTCGTATCAGGCTGCGCTCAGCGAAGCATTTTATTAGCTAGTGGCATCATTTGGCATCCATAGTTGTCTTCGTTGTCATAAATTTTTCTCTGAACTTAGTGGAAAATTTCAACCAAATTTAAGGAGAATAATGCTCACGGTATCTAGTATTAATTGTGTGTTTTTTATTCTGGTTGGGTCCTCAGTGGCTGAGTGTTCTAAGTAGTCCAACGACTGTATCACTTTCCAGTCAACACAGGTTTTCAGTGTAAATCCTGCACGGGTAAGGTGCACTTGACTCCAATCTTAATTGACTAGGATTGTCAGTTTTCCTAGGGAAGGTCTGTGGTTCTCTCCGGGTCTACTGTCCATGTCCATTTACATCAAAACTTTATGATTGATTAAGGTGCACAAACACATACGTGAGTGACACCAGTACTTTAGAGCCTTTTAGTCATTGCATGCAAATATAGATATAATTATATCATTAGGACCCTGCATGAAAGATGTGGGATCCAAACCCTATAGTTATACCCCCCCTTTAAAAAAGTGGGGGTATACTGTTTTATCTCTGTCTGTCCGTCTATCAGTCCGTCCCATGAATATTATTTTTCGTCCCATCTTTCTCAGGAACTGCATCACAAAGATTTCTGAAATTTGGTTTCAGGGTTTATATAAGTCAGCTATACTGTGTGATGCTTTTTCAGATTCATCATTCAACAACTTCCTGTTTACCGAACACTTACATATTTTTACACTATTAAAATTATCCAGTTGCGGCGGGGGTATCATCAGTGAGCAGAAGCTCGCAGTTTCACTTGTTTTCACTTTATCTGTGCATCTGACCATCAACATTTTTTATACGACCGCAAAAAATTTGCGTTCGTGTAATGGTACCATCACATGATCATGTCGCTGTCATTATGTCATCGTCCGAAGACACATTTGGTTTACGGACAATAACTTTAGTATAAGTCAATGGATCTCTATGACATTTAAGCAGAAGGTTCAATACCACAAAAGGAAGGTTGGGATTGATTTTAGGGGCTATGGTACCAACAGTTCAGGAATATGGGGCAAAAAAGATGCCAAAAACAAACATTTTTGTAGTTTAATGACATTAACTTGTGTGTAAGTGTATGGATCTCTCTGAAATTGTACCACAAGGTTCCATATCTTAAGGGAAGGCTGGGATTGAGTTTGGGGGTAATTGCCCCAAACGTTCAGCAATGAGGGGCAAAAAAGGGGCCAAAAACAAGCATTTTTCTAGTTTCCAGACAATAACCATGATAACTTGTGTTTAAATTTTTTGGGGGGATTTTTTTGTTTTTTTTTTCTCAAAAATTTTCCATTTTAACATTGATTATATCTGATTTATATATACAAGCAACAAATACTGATATGGCAGGAGATACACACCAAACAGGGCTTGTAAGTTATTAAGTCTCCCAAACGAAGTTTGGGAAGACTTATTGTTTTTGCTCAGCTATTATTGTATGCCCGTTTACGGGACTTATTATGGTATACCTCTGTCCGTCTGTCTGTCTGTCCGTCTGTCCCTCTGTCCGTCCGTCCGTCGTCAACATGTCGGACATTTACTCAAAAAAGCTTTAACCAATATGTATGAAACTTTGGTGAATTGTTTATATCTATTGACGTGAGCTCCCTTTTGTTTTTTTTATAAATTTCAGATTTACCGTTTCCGAGTTTTGGGGTTTTATTCATTAAAAAAGGGGGGATTTTCCAGTTTTCCGACAATAACTCAAGAATGCTTTCACCAACTTGCAAGGAATTTTGGTGAATTGTTTATATCTATTGACATGAGCTCCCTTTCAATTTTTATAAAATTTAGATTTTACGTTTCCGAGTTACCGGGTTTTATTCATAAAAAAAGGGGGATTTTCCAGTTTTCGGACAATAACTAAAAAATGCTTTCAGCAGTTCTCATGAAACTTTGGTGAATTGTTTATATCTGTTGATGTAAGCTCCCTTTAGAATTTTATAAATTTTAGATTTTACATTTCTGAGTTATGGGGTTTTATTCATTAAAAAAGGGGGGATTTTCCAGTTTTTGGTCAATAACTCAAAAATGTTTTCAGCAGTCCTCATGAAACTTTGGTGAATTATTTATAGCTATTGATGTAATTCTCCCTATTGATTTTCATAAATTTCAAATATGACATTGAGAAGAAATTGAACTTTATTTGTTTATAGTCTGACAACAGATTTACTAAGTATTGCACAACAGCAAGAAATCTTTAATTGAAGATAAATTCAATTCATATAACCAATTTCAAGTTCTTTGACTACATTTACTCAGAAACTTATAATATGTCAAATATTTAATTACAATCCAAATTCAGACCTGTATCAAGCTTGAATATTGTGTCCATTTTTGCCCCAACTGTTCAGGGTTGGACCTCTGCGGGCGTATCCAGCTGCACTCAGTGAAGCAGTTTATTATTAGGGCCCTGCTGAATGGCGGACGCCCTATAGTGATCAGTCTGTCCGTCTGTCCGTCCGTCCGTCCGTCCGTCCGTCCATCCGTCCGTCCATAGCAAATTGTGTCCGCTCTATATCTAGAGAACCATTATGATTTCAAAGTTTATACTTGACATGTATATTAACCAACACCAGAGGGTGTGTCATAATGTATGTACAACTTCCTAGGTCAAAGGTCAAGGTCAAAAACTTTGGTTTTAGTTTACAACCCCATGTCCAATGGTAAAGATCGTATCCACTCTATTAAATATCTTGAGAACCGTTATGATTTCAAAGTTTATACTTGACATGTATATAAACCAACACTAGAGGGTGTGTCATAATTTATGTACAACTCCCTAGGTCAAAGGTCAAGGTTAAAAAAACTTTGGTTTTAGTTGACAACCCCATGTCCTATGGTAAAGATTGTGTCCGCTCTATATCTTGAGAACCGTTATGATTTCAAAGTGTATACTTGACATGTATATAAACTAGGGATGTCAACTCGGTGAAGATTTATTAATCGAGTACTCGTTAGATTTACCGAGCGATACTCGTGTACTTGCTCGGATCAACATCTACAAAATGGAAACACAAATTATACCCATTTTACGTATTGCGGGTCATTGTCTTATGGCCGTAAAACCCTCAACATAATTACCTATGACTAGATAATAGTTCCAGGAATTTTATACCATAATTGATAATAAATAATGATAAAATATATTTTATTTGGGTGTCACACATTGATTGATACAGTACATTTAGACATATATACAAATAAAAAGTAATATCTTTAAAATGCAATCAATGCCCAGCCAAACAGTTGACTTATGAGACACTTAAAAAAGCATACATGTACATATATACAATAAACTGCATGTTAATTTGCAAAATATTTCTAGGGTTCTTATTAATTTAATTTAGAAATTGCTTTCAAAAATACTATTAAATATAAAATGTTATTAAAAATCATATAAAATACTCTATTAGAAATTCTTAAAATTAATAGCTCATTTACTACATGTGTACATGCACTAATTATGTAAACTGGCAATAATCTAATCAATTAATTAATAAACATCTATAGAAAAATGTTTACTCAAACAATAGTATTTGTGATTCGTACAAAAACACATTTAATGACCAACAAAGGAGTGATGATTAGTATAGAACTTACTGATACCTTTAACCATTCTCTGAGGGTTGACAAAGGGTGCAACGAATCTGTTCTTATTTAGAAATATTATCTTTTCAACTTTTTCTGGGATGAGTCAATTTCTCAACTTTGTTACGTAACCTACAGTCCTCCTGATGAAAATATTTGCTCTGACGGCACAGAGGTGTTGGAATGACTAAGAGACGATAAGCTAAAAGTGTAAGCCTTGGAAAGGTGCTCTTGTTCATAGCCTACATCTGTTCGAGGGAATTTTAAATGACAATTAAACGCAAACATTCGAAGCGTTTTTTTAATTTTGATTACTATTTAATTTCCTGGGAGGCGCTCTTTTTACTATTTTTTTCTTTAAGAAGGCAACAACATTCTAACAGAAACCGATTAGTCGAGTATTATTTTGGTATTCAATACTCAGTACTACCGAGCGATACTCGAGTACTCGTTGACATCCCTAATATAAACCAACACAAGAGGGTGTGTCATAATTTATGTACAACTTCCTAGGTTAAAGGTCAAGGTCAAAAACTTTGGTTTCAGTTGACAACCCCATGTCCAATAATAAAGATACAAATTTCTTACCACACATTATTCAAAGCGGGGCCCACAGAGATGGCTCCCATCTCAATGATATCTAGTTATTATTATTCCTCTTCCTCTTCCCTTTCCTCTTCCCCCACTTTTTAGCTCACCTGGCCTGAAGGGCCAAGTGAGCTTTTCTCATCACTTGGCGTCCGTATTCGTCGTTAACTTTTTACATTTTGAACTTCTTCTAGAGAACCTCTGAATGGAATGAAACCAAACATAGCAGGAATGTTCCTTATGAGGTGCTGACAAAGTGTTGTTACTTTGTAGCTGATCCATCATCCAAGATGGCCATCAGCGGGGGACTTCATTTAACATAGGACCCTATGGACAATATATACAAATGTCTTCTTTTAGAGAACAACTGAATGGAATGAAACCAAACATGGCATGAATGTTCCTTATGAGGTGCTGACCAAGTGTTGTTACTTTTGTAGCTGATTTGTCATTGTCCTTATAAAGTCATTTTCTACAATTTCAATGAATTTATTGGTAATTTCTGTAAACTTTACAATAGGGTTCTGCTTTTGATTAAATTACGGGGTCAATATTAAACCAAATTTGGCCTCAATCATTATTAGGGTATCTGTTATGATTTTAATCTATTTTTACATGATTTCCAAAACCAAAGTAGAATCAGTTGAGCGACACAGGCTCTTGGGAGCCTCTAATTTAAATGAACTTGTCCCCACCCGTTCTCCAAAAACGCTAGTCATATTTAAGGTTTCACAATATGTTAGACTAACTTGTCTAGTGGTGCAATCAGGGTTTCATTTGTACATTGGGGTCTAAAAAGGGGTACTTTGAGGGGCCAAAAGAAGGGAGGGGTTTACTATAGAACCCTATGGGATTTTATTTTATTTTATTTTCAAATGATAATAACTTGAAAACCGTTAGTGATAGACACAATCTTTATAATTGAAAATGTTCTACATGATAAAGCACATCAAATGAAATAAAGGGTTAGTCCCCAGGGGTCACCCCCACCCCCTACCATTTGGCAAAGTTCTAATATCTTGTAAATGGTCAAGATCCCCACCCCTAAACCATATATAATATTCTTGTTTGTCATGATACAGTCCATCAAATGAAATAAAGGATTAGTCCCCAGGTATCACCCACACCCCTGCCATTTGAGAAAGTTCTAATATCTTGTTAATGGTCGAGATCCCTACCCCTAAACCATATATATTCTGGTTTGTCATGATACAGCACATTAAATGAAGTAAAGTATTAGTCCCCAGGGATCACCCCCACCCCCTGCCATTTGAAAAAGTTCTAATATCTTGTAAATGGTTGAGATCCCCACCCCTAAACCTTTATATTTCTGTTCATCATGTCACAAAGATTCAAAAGATATATAGGGTCAGTCCCCAGGGGTCCCCCCCACCCCCAATGGTCTATTATCTTGTAAATGGTTGAGATCCCCACCCCTAAACCATATATATTCTGGTTTGTCATGCCAATATGATTTGAATGATATACAGGGTCAGTCCCCTGGCATCACTTATGCATATAATTTTACTGGACCAAATCAATTTTCGTTGGACTTTGCCCAATGTCAGGCGACCCTGGGGATGACGAATTATGGGAGCTTCGTTTGGGAGACTTCGTAACAGCATCCTGTTACAATCATTTCTTGTTATATATAAAAGATTAACTAGGTATTGTGCAACAGCACAGTATTGCGCAATAACACAGTAATGCGCAACAGCACAGTATTGTGCAATATCACAGTATTGTGCAATAGCAAGAACTCTTCAATTGAAAATAAATACAAATCTTTTAACCAATTTCAATTGGATTAATTTAAAGTCTTAAATTTTTGGGAGTTCTAACCTTTTATTACTATTTTGTATATTGGGGCCCCATTTTTAAATTGGTCTACATTGAGGTCCAAAATTAAACTTTGTTTGATTTCATCAAAAACTGAATTAATGCGGCTCTATGATATGCTGAATCTTATTGTGCATTTAGATTTTTTTTTATTTTGGGCCCTGTTTTCAAATTGTCCATATTAAGGTTTGAAGGGTTCAAAATTAGACTTTGTTTGATTTCAACTAAAATAAAATTTTTGGTGTATTTTTACATGCTGAATCTTACCATGTTAGATTTTGAATATCAGACCATATTATTAAGATCTTTGACCACATTTATTTTGTGTCTGGAAACTATATTATGTCACAAATATGATCACAATCCAAATTCAAACTGTATCAAGCTTGAATATCACATGAATATTGTGTCCAAACTTGCCCCATCTGTTCAGGGTTCGACCTCTGTGGTCGTATCAGGCTGCGCTTGCGAAGCATTTTATTGTTAAATCAAAACCTGCAAAAATTTAGGTAGGAGGCCAATGAAATCTTGCACAGTTGTGCATAATATTAAGGTACGCTGAATATATTTTGGCTAATTTGTCTCATTAATCTAAGGAAAAAAGCTTTGTTTTTGTTAGAAAAATAAATTTTAAATTAAGAAATGTCGAAAATAGATATATTACCACAAATTATAGCATACACCAGCATACAACTGGAAACATTCCACAGTTTCACCAAATTACTAGTCAATTATTTCCTTGAATTCCATGGCTAAAAAGAGTGAGCTGATTATACATGAATATGAATTTTATTGCTTCACTCTTTTTAAAAATATCATAGATGTTGAGACTTAACGCGAAAGCGTCCACTTCCATTTTTGACAAAAACCATCTGAAAAGTGATGTTTTATGGCATATTTGGTAGATTTTTCATATTTAAGCTTAAATTTGAGCGTCTTTAATGACCAAATTATTTCAAATCTTAAACAAACAAATTGAATAGACTGAAGTAGACACTTAAGTGTTTAAAAAATGTCAAAAATCATTCATCAAATTGTACTTTGAAATGTAGGCCAAAATTAGACCTCCCTGGACCTTCTCCTTTTACCAATTTCTTGCATTTGCCTTTTATCTTCATCACTATAAAAGATAAATAGACACTTTATATAGCAAAAATTATAATCTAGACAAGATCTATAGATATGTTAAATTTTATGAAATGGTTAGTAAACTCTTTACCATTGTTTACGGAAGTGTTTGACCTTAAATGACTTTAATTTTACCTTTTTTGTGTGTTGGGCAAAAACTAAAGAAGTAAAAGGGAAAACTGAAAAAAAAAACATTAGCAATACAAGATCATCAAAAAAGAGATTTCTGTCATGAATTTTATTCTAGTGTACAATGTTTGAGAGGACATGACAGATGAAAATTGAATAGTTTTATTGACACAATCAGTTATTTCTAATTGTTGATTCAAAATAGTTTTAAGTATCTTCAAGAGAATATATATTTCATTTAACATGTGTTCTATTTCAGTTAGGTAATATGTTCCTTACATTTCATTTTTTCAGAAAGTATTAGTAAAGTCACAGTAGGATCCATTTCTAAAGGCAACAAGACACCTGTTGTAGTACCAACTGTAATTGTACTTGCTGTAATTGTTGCTTTGTTTGTCTTGTTTGGATGGTATTTTAGAAAGAAGATAATTCAGTGTTGTAGGGGAGGTATGCATATTCAAGATACATGTCTTTTCTTTATCCATGCAAAATAAACTATGGATTTACAGGGAGAATTGCAAGACGTTTGTTAAATACTCATTAGTCCTAAAGGAATTTTTTTTTTAAGATTATTTATATTAACATTCTTCTGTTATACCCAGTTCGGTTGGACACATTATTGAGTAGATCCATATTACATGTATTATACTGGAAAACAGGGATAGGTTTATTATTTGTTACTACATATTTAGGTGCATATTTACAGTTAAATGCATGACTAGACAAAATTTAACAATTAATCAACCATCCAGTTGAATAAATATAAAATATATTTCTTATATATAAGACTATTAGTATTTTAATGAAAAACATTGTCATTGTGATTGTTGACAGCTCTCACAGTATAAGGTCAAATTTGACTGAATAAAATATTTGTTCAACAAAAAACCAATCTATGTCTACCTAACAAAGAAATGTTATAATGACTTTTATATTAAGGCCACATCTAGTTAATCTACAGAATCGTCAGCCTGTAACATAAACTGATTTTGTGGAGATTTTATTTTGATTTTGCTTATTCATTATCTCACCTGCTTCTAAAGTCGCAGAATGCTAGAAATAAAGATTACAATCCAGCCGCGTAAATTATTTGTATAAAGCATTATACTTCACAGGGTAGAAGACTTGGATGATCAAACTTGGTATACTGATGTCTTATTTCAAGAAGTTTGAGTCTGTCATATGTCTATTGTCCTTGACCTCATTTTCATTGAGCAGCAACTTCTTAAAAATGTATATTTTTTTCATGTGCTTTTCTCACTAATTAACTGTATTTAGTAAATGGATTCCTGTCTACATGTCGATCAGAAAGAGTTCTGGTGACCTTGATCTCATTTCATGGATCAGTGATCGAGGTTTAATTTAGATGATAAGGTTGGTTTCTAAGATAAGCAGTAGGTCAGCTTTATGTGGTGTATGGAATGATTGTAAGGTGTACATATCAGTTTGAAGGTTTTCATCTGCCCTTGACCTCATTTTCATTGGTCAATTTCCAGTTTTTGTGTACACGTAATGGTCTGTTTTTTATATATTATATTTGGTGTATGCAATGATTGTAAGATGTAGATGTCTATCTGGGAGGTATCAAAAAGTAAAATAAATAAGGTATAAATAATGGAACAGGTACAAGTATGCCTTGTTAGGGACATATATGGAGCAATCTGATTGAGCTACAGTGACTGCTGATCTGGATAAATCAAATACTTTTCCAGCAAGGGTTCAATTTGTTTAACAACTAAAATTCATTATTGAGAAGTAACTATCTGTCAAGACAAAATTGTGTGGTATAAACCTTTAGTTAACTGTAGTTTAGTTTAAACATTTTTTATTGTTCAAAATGACAAATGGATCAGACACAAGTTTTACAACTTAGTAACGTCTTCTCCAAAACAACAAAAAATATACACATTAATTAATGAACACATCAAATATTTCATACAAACAAATAATTTAAGCATAAAGACATGAAAACAAAAGGAAACTTGTTGAAGCGAATCAATGGATTTTAATCGAGTGCATCTTTTTACAGTATAAATAAAACACAAACACACCGAATTGTTTGTGTGGAATTATCTATGCGCAAATCATTTCTTGTGTAGAAATAACTTTAAGTGTTAATAAGTGTGTGTGTGTGTTTGTCATTATAATGCGTGTGATCTAAATATAATATGCAAGTTTAAGGAAAGGATGTAAACTACACTATGGTAAGTAGATTTGAAATTTAATTTTATATTCTTTAGTTAAAATTCATTGAATCGTTATTGATACCATAACATAACAGTAGTTATTCATCAAGATCATTCGATTATTGCCATTACATGTATATAGAAATATCTTTAATCAAATGTGTTGTTAACAGAATTAAGGTTGTCAATGCAGAGAAAAACGTTTGGTATTTTTTATATACTTTTGAACAGATAAACAAATATTATCATTTTCTTCAGTACTTAATGCATCATCACCAAATAATAATAAATCGATAGTTATATTGACATTAAAGACATTAATTTCATTTAACATCAGATTTCTATGAGTTGAAAAATTAATACAATATAGTTAATAGTGTTCAACATTTTCATTGTTAAAACCACATGAACAATTGGCATTTATATCAAATTTGCTTTGAACAAGTCAGCATACAGAGCGCTACATCTGTTATGCAGCCTTGTGTGTAAAACAGAATACAAACGATCTCCTGAGGAACCATATCTCAGAGATTTATTATTGCTATAGTATAGTTTATGCAAATTTAATTTAAAACAGGAAAATGTAGGAATCTGTCTAATACCTAAGTCTAAAGAATTCCACAATGCAATAGATGACGGAAAATAAGACTGTCGATAAGCTGATATACGATTTACGGGAATAGTAATATTCTGACTGTTACGCAAATTATAATTACTAATATCTGATACAAAATCCGGAACCAAATCGTGTAAATAATCTGGTGCTTGGTTATTAATAATCTTATAAGACATAGCTAATTTTTTAACCTCCCGTCTGACACTTGATTTTTCCCATCCCGTCTCTAAATAGATACTGTTCCGGCTAGCAGAACTTGGTAATCCCGTAACTATTCGAGCCGCCTCGATTTGAATATATTCCAACCGATCAGAATTTACTTGTCCACAGTTATCGCAGACTTCTGATGAATACTCCAAAATTGGCCGAATAAAAGTCATATAGATTTTTTCCAAATATTCCATCTTTAGTCTAAATTTTAGTTTTCGTAAAACATTTAGCTGCTAAGAAGTTTTTTCTATCAGCTTATCAACATGATCACTCCATTTACAATCATTACTAAATATGACACCAAGATGTTTATGTGTATGAACTGGCTCTAAGGTAACGCGATCAAAATCAAAAGAAAAATTACTTTGTATAGTTTTCATACTGAATATCATAACATCTGTTTTATTTGGGCTAAACTTCACTAGCCATCTTTTTGACCACTCACTTAAATAAACAAGATCTGTGCTGATTAAATTTCTTAAAATGGATTCATTAGGGGCAGTATGACCTATTGAGGTGTCATCTGCAAAAAGCCTTCCAAATCCAGAAAAACCATCAGCTATATCATTTATATATATCAAAAACAATAACGGTCCTAATACCGAACCCTGAGGCACGCCGGCGTTTAATTTTCCAAATTTTGAAAGTGAATCTTTAAAGACAACTTTCTGAGATCGTCTACACATGTAGCTTTTTAACCAACACAGCAAATCTCCTTTATACCATATTTTTCAAGTTTGTATAGTAAAGCCTTAATCCAAACAGTATCAAAAGCTTTACTTATATCAGCAAATGTAATGCTAGTTACTAGCTTATTATTTAGCGCCAATAAAATTTTGTTGTAAAGTTCAATCATTGATGCCTAGTGGAATATCCTGGAATAAATCCAGATTGATACTTATACAACAGTTTATTTTCATGTAAATGGTTAAAAATATTTTTGAAAACATTTTTTTCTAATACTTTACTCACACATGATAATAAGGAGACAGGCCTATAGTTGGAAGGTAATGATTTGTCACCACTTTTGAATAAGGGAATAACATGTGCAATTTTCCATTGATCGGGAAATATTCTATCATGAAGTGATTTATTAAAAAGTAAACATAATGGTTTGAAAATTTCATTTCTAACAGCAAGTAACATTCTGTTGCTAACAATATCTGGTCCCACAGCTTTATTTGCATCGAGCATAGAAACAATATCAAGTACATCTTGTTCACGAACAATTAATTGTTAAAGGAAATCATGACAGCGATCATCAATTTCGATAAATCTTTATTAGCATCATCTAAATTAGAAATGGAACAAAAAAATTTATTTAAAATTTCAGACTTTTCTGTTCCTTCATACGCAAGGTTAAAGTTCTGATCCGGGTCTCTTAGCGGAGGAATATCATGAGTTGGTCTGTTGCTTTTTATTAGCATATTGATGGTCTTCCAATACTGTTTACTGTTTGCCATTTTCAGTTCATCCAGATTCTCGTTTATAGTTGCATAAAATGCTGTTTAGCCTGCTTTTTTAAATTATTAACTTTGTTCCTTTGCTGCTTATATTTATGTTCAGCAGATTTACTACTAGAACGAATAAAAAATGTTCGAAGTCTGTCCTGTTTATTCGTTTCCCATCGCAAATTTGAATCAAACCAAACTTTATCATCACATCCTATAGTTACTTCCCTTGTAGGTATACACGCAGATGCTATGTTAATAAAAGTGTTAGTGAAATTTGTAGCAGCAACATGAACAGTTAACTGTATTAATTGTTACCATGCAGATATAGAAGTTTAGTCCAGATAAATTAAATATATAAGAATCTTTCATTCTGATTTTCAGCATCATTTCATCATTCAAAAGCTAACGGAGATAATACAGTTAATGGTGAAGGCAGAAATCTCATGAACACAACGGGACTACAGAATGACAGTGGGGTAGCAGAAAATCAAAACAAAAGTGAAGCTAATGGTAAAATTTTGGATGAAGCAAAGTCCCCACCCACAGAGCAAGTCAATTTGCAGGATATTTAAAATAATTCATTTATGTAACATGAATAATTTTTTTCTGATATGCCTCTGATTATAAGTGAGGGGGGTACTGTTTACTTTTGATTTAGTATTAAAGTTTATACCACATCTAGATCACTTGGACTGAGAAAGGGATTTTTTTGGTGAAGCTGGATTGCCTCAACTAATCAATCTTATATTATTTTTGACAACCAGCAGCCAGTTGTACGAAAGTGTCATTAGCTTAATGAGTCATTAAGGCTTAATGATTCATTTAGTTCTTAATAGGACATTAGTTAATGAGTCCATTAAAATGTGTTGCACAAAGCACAATTTTGTTTTCTCATAATTAACTAATGGACATTTAATGAAGGATGCGTCATTAAACTATCATTAAATATTGGTTTTCCCCTAAATATTTCCCACAATTCCATAAGTTGTAAACATCCGTTGTATGCAAGGTTACCATCAACAACTATAGAGATGTCTGCTAGTGCTTCTAAAACGCACAGAAATAGATCCAAAAATTTTGAATCAACAGAAATAACCTTGATCACGGAACTGGTACAGCAAAACATCACATTATTAAATGACAAATTTAAGTCTAGTCACCGTACCAGTTCATTGACAAGTGAAAAGAAGGGTTTGGTCTGGGAGCACATTAAAGAAAAGGGTAAACTCTTTAGGTGTGTGCCCCAGATCAACAAAATCAAAAATTTTTTTTTTTTTTTTTGAGGAGGGTTTGGGGGGGGGGGGGGGGGGGTCAATTCACAACAGCATAGTGTATTGCACAAAAGCAAAAAAACTGAATATAAATTCAAATCATATAACCAATTCTAAGTTCTTTGACTACAGTTATTCTGTGTCAGAAACCTATTATGCGTCAAATATTTAATTACAATCCAAATTCAGATCTGTATCAAGTGCGAATATTGTGTCCATTTTTGTTCCAACTGTTCAGGGTTGGACCTCTACGGTCATATCCAGCTGCACTTGGCGAAGCAATTTATTCTGCTTGCATTTCATGTAATTAACTGTATGTCATCTATAGATATTTATATCTTAATACAAGGCACGGTAATTCCATGTAAAAGTTGTGAGTCTAAAGTTTTATTTTTTTTTCTTATTTCTTATAAGATTACTATAAATCGGCATCTTTTTGTATTGTGTACCAACTTTTCGCCAGGTTCATATTTTGATTATTCTTCTTCAGGCATACATCATTCATAATTTATAAAATTTCCCTAGCATGTGCTTTCTTATAATCTTAAACATATTGAAGTCAAGAAGCATTATGTAGATGTATCGTATTCCATCGACACCTGATAACATATTGTTCCACCACTCAAAGTAGTACCCCTTCATCAGGACCTGTGGGAATGAGAAAGTGAGAGAGGTATATCACTAGGGTAGAATTTGAGAAGAAAATTTAAATACAAACTTTTGAATTTCCCCTACAAAAAAACAACAATATATATACGAATCCAACAAGATTTCAACAGCCATAAAGTCGAGACCTGTTCCTTTTTAGAACAGTCAATGGAACTGTGGACAAGGGACTCCTTGATACATAAATGTAAATACCTATAGTACTACTAGTTCAGCTGTACACTTCATACAAAATGTTTATGATTTATCATTGTTATTTAAGATGTATATACATGTATTATTTGTTAATTTTGGTCAAGGAATACAAATTATACGAACATTTGGACAAAACAGACACACAATGACAAACAGTTAAGAAATCAAAACACAAACCATATGAGTTGTATATATATTTTTTTCCCATTTGTGTTCACATATTTTATCCCACAGATGATAAGACTGACATCATTACATAATATCTCTGTTGATATGTATGTGAATATAAAATTTAAGGCCAATGATCAAGGTTCTATTTTTATACCATATTTTATTTAAGATGATATTAATGTTAAATTTTACCTACTTGCATGTTTCATCTAATGAGTGAAAATCAAACATCACTTCATTATAGGTTCATGAAATCCACAATAAATCTATTATATCCTTGCATAAAAGCGCCTACACTATTTCATAAGGTTCCTAACTTCTCGAAATCTAACAAAGTCCAGAAAATGTGTTTGGTCCAGTAAAGTGTTAAGCAAGAACCAGATGGAGGTACATCATAAGAAAGTTTTATTTATTCTTTTAAATCTTATGCGCGAAAAGTCAATTTTATAACTATACATTTTTTGTTTCACCGGCCTTTGACAATGTTGATATTTAGAATCGGAACACAGGAGTTAATATGGCTGGTATTCCAGCATTCGCCAGATATATGATGAATTTTGTAGTAATTCAGACATGAGTCATAAGTGGTGGCCATTAATTATTACAACTCCCTGATATACGTGGTTAAAGCAGTGTCCAATGTTGGGAGATGAATACCCCCCCCCCAAAAAAATTTTGTTTGCTTAGTCCGAGACAATAGCAGAGGGGTATTATGTTTTCTGGTCTGTTCATTCGTCCCTCCGTAAACAGATTTAGGTTTTTGTCAGGGCAGTTTTTGTCTCGCCTGACTTCTGTCGCAGAAAGCGAGACTTAGGGATAGTGATCCGGCGGGTGCGGCTGCTCTTGACAAACGCTGAATATTTCAGAAGGTAAAATATCTGGATGCTTCATAATTTTTACATAGATGCCTTGTGTTAAGAACTTTCCATATGTCATATGACCACTGTTCTTTACTTTAGTTTTATGATTCTGTGACTACTAGAAAAAAAAGTCTTTTTGGTATGTTAATTTTCTCTTATTATAAGTAATAGGATTACAATATGTGGTATGTGTGTTCCTTGTATATAAGGTCCTCATGCCTCTGATTTGGTCATTTTTTCATATGCTATAGTGTATGGAATAATTGTGAGGTGTGTATGTCTGTCTGGCAAGTGTTATTTGACCTTGACCTTATTTCATGGATCATCGGTCAAAGTTCAAATTTTTTATGAGGTTTGTTTCTGAGAAATTTTTCATGTGGTGTAAGAAATGATTGTACAGACTACATGTCAGTCTGAAAGAGTTTATCTCACCTTGACCTTGACTAATGTACATTGATCATTTAAATATTAATTCAATGGAAATGACTGTGGTATAAACTTCTTTTTTTATACTTTTAATATAAATTCAATTATGAACACTAGAACAGGCGAGACATTTAAGTGTGTCCACAATTGCTGATGAAGTAAAAATCACTGACTTAAAATTTAGTACACAAGTTCCTTATGATAAGGCCTTTCTATTTTGTATGCTGAATTCAGATTTTGACCCCAATTTTTCGGTGCTGTGATTCCTTCATTTGATTTGCATTTCATTTTGATGGCATTATTTTAACAGCTATTTAAAATTATGGAACAAATAAATATTTATTAATTTGGATGAATATAATAATAATGAAGAAAAATGATTTGGCTAATATTTCTTTACCTAATAGAATAAGCATTATATTTTCCACGATTTTGACATTCATAAGGCATAATATTAAAGTTTGATTATATCTGTCTCAAGTTGGAAAGAATATTTAGATAAAGACTTTAGATTTTTTGTATATAGGATATGAATAATTTTATTGTATGAAATGAATACAGAAACTGAAAATTGACCCAAATATTAAGCATTGTAAATGGTGATTAATTAGCATTTAATTGCTCATGTTAAGTGACTACTCTGAGATGGCCATGAGTATATAGTAAATGTATTTAGTATTGTTAGTTAAAGTTGACAAATTAACCATGAAGATAATGTCAAATGTAAGATCATGTATACTTTGCAGTTCCTCTGTAGGGCATATTTAATAGTATTACTTTTCTTTTCATGCTAGGTTTATTAGGAAATAAATAATTTTTGTGATTCATAAACAGGTTTTCTTGTAACTGTAACATAAAGTTACTAATTAAAACATCTCCAGGAAATGATATATTCAGTTATCAAGTAAAAATTGAATAAAACATACCCCTTTCAATGGGTATACTGGTTTACCTCAGTTTGCCCATATTTCGTGTTTCTGTCCGAGGAAATTTTCCTCATATTTATCTTAGGAACTACAAATCAAAGCTTCCTGAAATTTGATGTCAAGCTTCATGTGACATGTTATATGGTATGATGGGTTATCAGATCTCCATGACTTCCTGTTAACTGATTAATAATAGGGAGTAACATTAGTGAGCAAAAGGCCACAATGCACAGGAATAATTTTATTTTTTGAATGTTACATTATTTAAAAGCCTAGCCTTAAGATCCTGTTTTTAAAAACAATTAAGATTTTTGTAGAATTTACTCATAAAGAAATGGTATTGTAAATTTTGAATTATAAGTAGGTATAAGAGTTTTTTTTTTGTTTTTATTATATAGGCATGTTTCTTTAAAATAAATCCTTAGCTTCCTCTGAATGCAAAAAATAAATTGAATCACAACACCAAGATTTTGCAATTTTTTTATGAAACCAGAAACTAGTTAAATCAGTTGATCATGATATTGTATAATATTTACTTTACAATTAAGTCAGTTTAAAAGATAAATTTAGTTTGGTATTGGTGAGTGTTTTGGTTTTTTCTGTAAGGATGCTAATTTTATATCGACAAATCAAGAAGTGTTTTGATTTTTTCTGTAAGGATGCTAATTGTATATCAACAAAACCTAGATGTTTTTTTATGTTGTTCTGTAAGGATGCTATTTGTAAATCAACAAATCCTAGAAGTATTTTGATTTTTTCTGTAAGAATGTTAATTATATATAAACATGATCTTTTAGAATGCTTCTTTAATAAAATGATCTTGAACAAAAAAGTAATATTTTAACTCATTGATATTGTAAGCCCAGACCAAAGACTCACTTTTGTAATACATTATTGTCTTGCTTACCTGTTATAGTATGATGTCTGATTTGTGCATGATATTTTTGTTGCATTTGGTACAATACAGAGTAAAATAACAAAAATACTGAACTCCGAGGAAAATTGACAAAATCAAAAGCTCAAACACATCAAACGAATGAATAACAACTGTCATATTCCTGACTTGGTACAGGCATTTTCTTATGTAAAAAATGGTGGATTAAACCTGGTTTTATAGCTAGCTAAACCTCTCACTTGTATAACAGTCCCATAAAATTCCTTTATATTGACAACGATGTGTGAACAAAACAAACTCTTTGGTTGGGTTGTTGTCTCTTTGACATATACCCCATTTCCATTCTCAATTTTAGACATAATAGGTAAAATTGTCAAAAATAGGGGTACAGCAGTCAACATTGTGTTATAATCTTAATCACTATAATAACAAACAAATATGTCAACAAAAGAAAAACAAAAAGGCATATAGACAAGCACATTAGCAAAAAAGAAAGACAAGAATACAAAAATTTACTATAGCACAATAACACAATGACGGGATGTATAAGTACCGAGCTACGTCAAATGGATATTACCAAAAATGGGCTAAACAGTAAAAAAGTAATAATTTACAAAGACAAATAAAAGAATACTATAACATGTTATTAAGATGATAAATGACGTCAGTACCTAGAATCTATACTTCAAGACCATTATTTGTGAAGTTGATACAGAATATTTATCAACAAGGTCTTGGTATCTTCCGATGAACTTTTTTAGAAAAAGGATGAGAAGTATATAAATCCGGA